TTTTTTATATTAATATTTTGTAATTTGTTTTTGAGGAATTAATATGTTACACTTTATAAGAACAGATTGTAAATTAAATTTTACGTTTACTTTTTTCATGTTTTTTAGTTTTTTGATATTTTTGTTTTTCTGAATGAACTTTTAAATTTTTCTTTCAAAAAATAAAATCGAAAAAATATCTTTCAAAACATTGAACTATTAAACTATTTGGCATTTTATATAAACTTCTTTGTAATTTTTTGCTTTTTTCTTAATTTTTTAATTTTCATTTTAGTTACCATGTATTTATATAAATGTCTAGACAAACAAGGGACTTGGTGATAAGACAACCCCGTCTTCTTCTCGTCCTTGCCATTTTTAAATATTTTAAATTACGGAACTTGTAAATATTTGTACGGCTAAATTATAAAAAAAAAAAAAAAAAAAAATCATTAAAAGTCGTTGCGGGAATAAATTGTTTGGAAAATAAACATCTGTGCGTATGTATATAATTTTCATAAACTTATTTAAAAAAGTTGTTATATCAATTATCAAAATCAGAGAGGATTCTACAAATAAAATAAGGAGGTAGGAGGGTGAATACTCAAAAAGAACAGAATAGCTTTAAAATAATAATAATAATAATAAAATGGTCCTCAAAACGAAAATTTAGCAGACTGAATTGTGTCAAATGCCGACTAGCCGACTAAAATAGTTAAAGTACGGACTATAACTTGAAAATTACCTTCTTTAGGGGGGTGTCACACCCCCTACATCTCCCTTTTCGTAAAGTTGCCTCTGATCTAAAATAAAATTTAAAAAATAATTTTTCGACAAGCGAATATTTTATCATAACGATGAACCTTAGAAAAAATAATAAGAATAGCTAGTTGTTTACTCTGACACCAATAAATTATCAAGCTTCATTTGCCTCTCAACAAATAAGCATGTGCTAGGTAGATGCTCTCATTTACATTTATATTCAAATAGCGACACTTTTGTAAGAAATATTTTTAAACTTGTTTTTGGTGAGCTTAAGGAAGTTTGGGAAAAAGCTGGAGTATCAATTCGATCAAATAACTCTTGTCTTTCATTGCTTACAAAAATGTCGGGGAAAAAGACAAAATAAAAAAAAAATTGATCAAGCAAGTCGAAATGTTTAAGCTGTAAAAGAAAAAAATCATTCGATTTTGTAATGAACTTGAACAACTTTTCGACATTTCAGCGGTATACGCATATAAATGATTATTAATATAAGTAGACCAAAATAGAAAGAAGATTAGGCATTTAATGAAGATCAAAAGAGTAGTAGAAAGTATCACATGACAGGTAACATCAAATTAGGTAGTTCAAAATTTTTAAAACGTCAAGAAAATAGAGTAAGCATGGATTTTTAGAAGTAAGCATGGATTTTTAGAGCACTAAAGATCAAAAATCTAATGCCTTCGAAGTCAGTGAGTTAGTTGAAAGTGACGAGGAATAAGATCAAAAATATACAAAGTTTATTCCTTTAGTACCCAAGAAAAGAAAAAGGCCTTTAACAAATTAACTCGAAATATTAGCAAAGAAGTAACGGAATTTGTGGCAGACCAATGTTATTTATCAGTTCGCCAACAGCTTTTATTTTAATCCAATATCATCTGCAAAAGCGGAGGCAAACCTAATGATATGTCTATGTCAGTATTAAATGTGCATTGTCAAGACAATATGCAAAGGATAATATTTTTCTGTCAATTAAAGATGGCTGAGAGATAAACAAACCTAAAAATGCTATTTTTCATTGGGATTAGAAGCTTTTCCATTTAGACACAACTCATTTTAAAGAACGTGTAGCAGTTTATGTAAGCAAAGAAACTAACTTAACCTTTATTTGAAGGCCACAACTTATCGGAGTACCTTATTATAGATTCGGCAGGTAAAATTCAATATGATTTAGTAGTTAAACTTGCGCAAAATTGGAACAATTTGGAAAACATTGTTGGTATATGCTTTGATACAAGAGCACACAGTTGTCCAAAATAGGAAATAATTATTGCCAAAATTAAATAATTAATGCCACCTGTCCTGGGTGAATCTACACGGTCCACAGAGTCAAAATATATAAATAACGAAATCTAGTTACAATGTCCGAGCGAAAAAAATCACTTTGAAATTTTTACCCTTTTTGCACATTCTCATGAGATGACAGCATTCACAAATTTGTGCATTTTTACAGCATTCAAAATTAGTAGAACAAAAAACAACGGGTACTGATGATAGATATTTACATTTTCAAACTATATTTTGTAAGTTATAAGTTTATAAAAATATATTAACATAGAACCAGCAATATTAGTTCTTTTTGTAATGTTTAGCACTATCTTGTTATAACGATTGTGCCTACCATCTTAATGATCATTAAAACTGAAGAACCCTATTTTGACATCCACAAACGTTTGTTTTTGTTTTGTTTTACTTAAAAAATAGAAAAAGTTATTCTAGGACTTCAAAAGTTGAAAAAATCATTCTTTGACTTTATATGTAGGTAACGTATTATTGCCTCAAAAGATCAAATGTAAGATTTATTTGAGTTGTTTTTCATTGCATTCTGAATTGAAAAAAATGTGTACAAATTTTGAGCATATGAACAGTAAACTGAATAATATATCACTTCAAGATAATCATTTAATGATCTGAAATCAATAATGCTCAAAGTAAATACCAAAAATAGTCATGAGAAATCTGTGTAAATAACATTTGATATTGTTTTAAAGCTTTTCCTACATTCTCTGCACTTTTATGTAAGACAAACTTTATATTATTGTGTATTTGCTACTTATCAGTAATCAATACTCTTATTTAAAATGATATATTTCTGATATTTGAGTGACCGTTAACTATGCCTAACCAAGCTAAAGATCATGATGCAAATCAAAAAACTGTTTGCTTGCAGTGCTTTCAAAAAGCAACACGTCAAATTACAACCTTTTAAGTAGAAAGAGGTCTTCAGATTTACCAACATCAGATAAACTACCAAGACCCACGTGTTCTCAAAGGATTGTGTGAAGCTTGCCGTTCACTATTGAGACGAAATAATGGAGAAAAAGATGTCAACCTTCCTTACCTGATTGATTTCTTGACAATCTACATGAAACCAGAAACCAGAACAGCTGGTAAAGAATGCTCATGCCTAATTTGTCACATAGGAGGTTTAAGGCACAATCAAAAAATATGATCCTATGGTCAACCATGAAGTGCAAACAAGAGTTCCTCTGCGTTGTACGTTATATGTCTTAGTCCTATTAGAAAAGGACTTCCACACAACTGTAATAGGTTCACATTCCGGGAAAACTTTAAAAAGTTGGTCAGTGCTGATCTCAGCGCTTCTGAACAGATTGCTTCAAATAGAATTGCTTCCAAAAATGCCTCTCCAAAAAGAATCATTAGGCTAGCTTAACCAGGTGGGGGTTGCCCATACCTTATCACCCCAGGTAATAAAACCTAAATTAAAAAATTTGAATTATCATCGCTTTCTTTTCAACCAGTTAAGTATTTATTCTTTATTAAAAGGCCCAAGTCAAGTGAATTCAGTTGCTTCGTCTGGTTAGACAAGTCTTAAAACAAATGATCTTGTAAAAGTTCAACTTAATACTGGCTTGTCGAATCATGGAGTAAAGAAACTAGCAATGACGTTGAAGCAGACATCGAGCCGAATTTCCGTGCAAAGTTTTAAGAGACTGGACAGAAGCTATCTGAGTTTTTCAATCACTCGGTTCTTGTAGATGCTAAAGAACCGAGACAAGGGTTGTCTGGCATATCAAGGACTGTCGTGCACTGCCACAACCTTGCCGATCTTTTGAATGAAGTACTCAAACATCGAGATATAGATGACAACCTTATCAAACTTGGCATTGATGGTGGGGGACAATTTTCGAAATTTTCCCTCGGTGTTGTGAGCAAAAGCCTTGGCAAAAATGCAAGCTCCCCACAACATAAAAAACACCTCACGCAACAACTAGCCAAGGACAGCAGTTCCAAGAGGCAGCTTCTGGTTGCAATTGCAGAAGGTATGCCTGAAACCTATGAAAATGTGAGGAAAATCTATGAAATGCCATTTGGTCTCTCATTTGAGATGACATTCCATCATATCAGATTTCATGTGATATTAGGCTATCCAACATTTTGGTTGGTCTCCAGTCGCATCCAAGTACCCAGCCATGCGCATGGTGTGATGCAAAATCCACCAACCTGAATTGCTCAGTCTCATTGAAGGAGATCTATCGGCTCATTGAAGGAGAGTTTTGAAAATTTGAAAAATTCGGAAAAGGTCACCACAAAAGCGAATCTGTTTTGCAATTTCATTCATGAGTCGGTCTTTATTGACATTATTTCACCAATAGAGTTGCACCTTTTGTAGGGATTGGTAAACCTGGTCTTAAAAAAAATCAAAGGTGTGTGGCATTGAAAAATGGCCTTCTTCTCTGCATATTCAAATTGAGCCTTAACATGGCGGATAGTTTGTCAGAAATGACTGTTATAAACTTTTGAAGAACATTAACAAGCTTCAGCAGCTTGCAGAGGTTGGCTCAGCTTTCCAAGTTTTTTCCTTCATCGCTGTGCTTCGAAGATTCAGTGCTGTTGTCCAAGTATGCTTTATTATATATATATATATATATATATATATATATATATATATATATATATATATATATATATATATATATATATATATATATATATATATATATATATATATATATATATATATATATATATATATATATATATATATATATATATATATATATATAATTTAGTTTCTGGGGTGCTAGATTAGGGCCCCGAAACTTTAATTAGCCAAGCACTCCAAAAAATCACAACCCTAACTGCTCCGGCTATATGATCAAGTAAATGTTGTTAAAAATAAGCAAATTTTTGTTTTTCTCATATTTTCAAAATAATTAAAGGTTTTTTTAATTAAATGAAAAAAACTAAATAAACTAATATTAAAAAAGGTTGTTAATTTTTGTTTTCATCTTCAGTTTATTATGGGGCTACATCTGCGATAAATGTGGAAAAAAGTTATCTCTTTTGTTGTCCGGAGGATGCGTTGCAATTTCAACACTGATGTTTGGATTTTCGTTTAACTATCCCTGGGCTGTTGTAGCAAGATTTTTACAAGGTTTTTCAATGGGTAATATATATAAAATTTGTCTTTTGAATTTTATTAAATGCAGCTATTTCAGTATTGCATAAGTAGTATAAGATATTTGGGTGTTTGTAATCTCAGTATTATGTTTATTCATTTGTTTATTATAATTTTGGTTTCATACATGCGATTAAATGTTTTAAGTACTTATTTAATCTCGCAAATTAAATCAAATAACCAAATCCAAGGAGCATTTAGTTTGATTCAACACAATGTTAAAAGATTCTTGTATTTTTGACTTTTATTTATTTTTTGCCTGTAAGTTCAAAAATTTGTTCTAACAATGATAGTTTTTAATTTTTTGCCTAACTTGGTATAAACGCAAATTTTCTTCAAGTCATCACGATGTATCAATCTATTTTAATATTAAAAGTTAATTAGGAAGATAAAGTAAAAACAAAAAAGTTATTTGATTTGTTTGAATCTACTAGAGGCTACTTAACACATTGAATAATTCTGGTTGAACATTGAGAATTCCTGGTTGTAGCCAGTCCACATATTTTTATGTGAATGGATAAACATCTTGCAGCGTATCAACTTAAATCGAACTAGAACTCAATAGAATGGCGAATCGACTGTAGCAACTGTAGCAAAAGTAAATTTGGCATGTTTTTAAACAACTTTATGCATACCCCGTTAGTTTATTATACAATTAGGCTATTTAGCTGCAATATATATATATATATATATATATATATATATATATATATATATATATATATATATATATATATATATATATATATATGTATATATATATATATATATATATAACTATATATATATATATATATATATATATATATATATATATATATATATATATATATATATATATATATATATATATATATATATATATATATATATATATATATATATATATATATATATATATATATATGCATACTATGTTTACAAAATTTAGTACTCTTTCATGACTATGTAGAAAAAATTTATTAGGTCGGATACAATATCTTTGTTATAAAATAAATACTGCAGCATATTTAGTTCCATCTCTTAGCTTTATGTATAATCAAAATTAACTAAATAAAACAATGCTATATCATTAAAAACGGCTTTTTATGCAACTTTTACATTAGTAATTCTGATTTGCTGAACAATTAGCATATACATATCTCCCATCCACCAAAAGAACGGAAACATTTTAGCACTTCTGCTACACCATGCGTCTGGGTCTTTATCATTACAAAATAAAATAAACAGCAATAAGTAGGTTACTTTAGTATAGGCTATTAACTACTCTAATAAGAACTTATTGAATTCAATTTTTTTTATCATCAAAACAATTAATTTAGAAATTAATTGATTAAATCAAACTAGAAAAAGTTTGTAAAATTTTTCTGTAGCTAGCCTGAATATTTTTTAATGATGATTAAATATTTTAACTTCTAAGATAAATGACAACATAACATTAGAGTGGTCATTTTAAAAGGAAATTTTATGTTTCTCTCGCCTGACTTATCTTTAACTTTTATACATGGAACATTCAAAAAAATGAACAGAATCTCTTACAGGAACGAAATAAAGCAGAACTCAAAGTGTCATTAATATTATGCTGAGCTCTTTCCTCAAATATAAAAATTCTTTGCTTGAAACAGTTTAATTAGCAAAAGTTAGAACTAAAATTTCAAAATAATCAAAAACTTAAGAATTTATCTAAAGCTAAAAAGTGCCTTATTAATAGAAAACTTAATAAACATAATTTTTTCAACTTCTTAAATATCACTCCAATCTATTATTATTAATTTATATGATTTGTTTTTGCATCTGCCTATGATCTATTGGTTGAAGACTATTGAATTTGACTTTTCAATAAGCTAATGCATTGTTAGGCCTCCTTTGTTTTTATAAAAAGTAGTTGCATTCATGTTATGTTTAGTGCCTCTGATGATTATATCTACCAGTTCTTCTGGTATTAAATCATTTTTAGACACAATGTTTATATCATTGTCTATGTAGATTGTAAACTTTAGTGATACTAGTCTAGAAACACCGCGGTTTTACAAATTATCCGTGTTTAAATTTCAAAAATTGGTGAAAAGATTGTAAAATGTGTTTTTTCGGAACTGCAAGTTGAAACGGAATGCATTGCCATTGGATATTTTAATAAGAACTGCATGCATTCTCTAAACTTGAACTTATAAAGGCTTTTTTGATTTACAACTCTAAAAAACATAGAGGACCAATATGCTATAATAAAAAAAATTGTATTAGAGAGAGAAATTCAAAAAAAATATTTTTTACAAAGATCAATGTAAAATTTATTTTAGTACATCTACTTCATATAATCATCTAAGTACTTAATAATGTAGTATACTTTTTTAGTTTGCTAAATGCTCCTTGGATTTGGTTATTTGATACGTTGCAATCATATTTTTTTTTATTTTTACTCTAATAAAAATGTTTTATTTATGTTTGAAGTTCAAAATTGGTGTTATTTGAACTCAAACGTCATTGTAGCAGCTTTTGTTTTAGAATGATTAAATTTGTTTTCTATTAACATTAAACCCTAAAGAGTAATAATATAATTGTTCAATATATCTGTTATTTTAGCCATGTTTTTAATATTTAATAGGTTATAAAAATTATGCCTAAATAAGGTTGATGGTTGGTTAAAGCTTTTATTATACACCTATTTGTGCCGTCATAACAAGTTTATATACTTTACATACTTTATGCCGTCATAACTAGTTTCACCTAAATAATTTGCAGATATAAAGACTATAACGATCAAAACTTAGAGCAAGCATATATTAACTTTGAAAGTGGAGCTATAAGTTAACGATTTGCTGAAGAACAATTTAGAATCAACCGTTCCAACATTAGGATAGCTTTTTAAAGACAACGCATTACTATCACAAAGAAACATGCAGGGCATTAATCTGTCCTCACGCCTGAAGAAGAGCAGTCATATTGTGATCAACTTTTGTCTAACCACTGACCTCATTTGATCTTCGGATTGTTGTGAAATCCTAGATTTTGATTGGGGAAAAGCCTTTCTTAGAAAACATCATTAGCTATTAAAGAAATTTGTCGGAAACCTTAAAAGGGTCAGGGCTGTAATAACATAACAAACAGTCAAAGAATACTGCTAATCTTGATAATGAAACAGAAAATGCACCAGCAGAAAACATTTTTATTTTGAGTCGACTTGAATAGATTACCCCTAGGAAAAAAAATGAATCCTGTAAAAAGAAGTAAAATACCCTGAAAGAATTATCAATAGTCCCAAATCAGCGATTTCCTTTATATACTGTGGTAATGCAGCTGGGGAATTGCTTGCTCCATATGTAGTCTACAAAGCCAAGTCATTTTGGACGTAATGGGTAGAAGGTGGCTAACCTGGAAAAAGGTATAATTATTTTAAAGGTAGGTACTTTGTAAGTTTGCCACTACCAAGGTAATATGGGCAAAAAGTTGTTTTTACTAATAATCTAAGTAGTCAAATTAATGTCAATATATTAAAACTTTTTGAATATTATGATGTTCAATTTTTTGGATTAACATCAAATTGAACACAACCACTGAATGTTCCTTTTTTCAAGCCAATGAAAAGATTGTGGAGATAAACATTATTAGAATAAAATGCGGGTCCTAGAAAAGGTGCAAGCATGTATGCCTAATAAAGACATATTCCCTTTTCTTTTAAGTCGCATTCATAAATCAATTCAAAGAAACTGTGCAGAAAAAATAATTTCTGGTTTCAGAAAAACAGGGAAATATCCTCAAAATTGACAAGAAGTGTTAAAAACTTTTTCCACAAACATTTGTTTTCCTGAGGAGATCAAATAAGAATATCAATCAATTATTTCTTGACCTTTTAAGAAAATCAAGATGAGCGCATATTTTAACTACAAAGCATATGGGAAGAATACTGAATGTTCGGTTAGGAAAAAGTATAAGATCAGAATATGTCATAAAAACAGATGCGCTGAGAACAACAAAAGGAACCATAAGTGCTACTTGAAGAGCTCAAAATAAAAAAAGTGTTCAAAATTTAACTACAAAACAAATTTATGACAGATAGAAAAAATGAACCAGCCAATTTAGTTGGAGTAGATGCTATTAAAAGTAGCAAAACAAATAGTAGCGATGAAAATTTATATTATAATGGCAACATAAGATCTTTTAGATCAAGACAACACGGAAAAGGTAAAACTTATAGTCAATGAGTATGTGCTAGTAGAATATGTAAGCGTTAGTATAAATGAATCTTTCGGAGCTATAGCTTCTACAATAGCGCATCAAAAAATCACTGGATGTTCCAAAATAAAAAAGATATTTTTTTTTACAATATTGATAAAATAAAAATATCAATATCACAGTACCATTTAACAACAGATACCTTTTTAAAATTGCAGAGCTGGAAAATTATTACAATAGTAGGTATTCCTAGTACTAAGTATGCTCGAAAACAGTATACCAGAATTTATTATACTATAAATTACTTGCAGTATTAATTCATTTAAATTGTTTTTCTTTGTACGGTTTTTTATGACATTCAATAAAAATTGAAAAAAACTACATTTTACACTGTGTTTAAGTAAACCAACAATATGGGCTACTTAAACCCAACCTTAAAAAGGACTGAAGTCCACCGAAATATTTTTTTTGTAAAATCATAATTACTAACTCACAAGTCCATGAAATAACAAAACAAGTTTTTTTTACATTAACATAAATACGAGAGAAAACCACAAACATCATATTTGTATCAAATTTGGGTACAAACAGCTCCGTATAATAAAATAAATACTGTTTAGAGACAACGTTCTTCAAGTTTTATTTATCAAAAAGTTCATTATTTGTACACAAAAAGTATTTAAAAAAATGATTTCCTTCTGGACAAAACAAGTACAACTCCACAAAATATTGACCAAGCTGTATTTTGCTATCAATATTTCGTGGCGAATCTTTTGTTGTCGATCACAGCCTTGTATCTCCGAGGCATAGGTTTGATC